GGATTCGAACCCGCCACCTTAGGTGTACGTGGCTGGCGCCTTAGCCACTTGAGCCACAGGTGCCGAGCCTATTTGTTGTTTTTTATTTTTTCTTTTATCCTAACCACCAGCTAAATAAAAATGAGATGTTTTCAAAGAAATTTTTAGGAATCTGAAATTTGAACAAACCAACAGTGGAAAAACATTCGTGAGATAATCAGGAGAAACTTGACCATTGACTGGTTATCTGATGCCATGAGATGAGTTTTTAATTTTATTTTTTAATTGACAAATAATAATTATACATATTCATGGGGTACAGAGTGATATTTCCTTAAGTATAATATACAGAGATCAGATCAGGGTAATTAACGTATCCATCATTTCAGACATTGATCATTTCTTTGTGTTGGAAACATTCATTTTCCCCTTCTAGCTATTATTATTGTTAGCTACAGGCATGGTATAGAACCCTGGAACTCGGTCCTCCCAGCTAGCAGGAATTTTGTGTCTTTTAACAAATCTCTCCCTTGGGCGGTGCCTGTGGCTCAGTGGGTAGGGCGCTGGCTCCATATACTGAGGGTGGTGGGTTCGAACCGGGCCCCAACCTGACTGCAACAACAACAAAAAATAGCCGGGCATTGTGGTGGGCGCCTATAGCTACTCAGGAGGCTGAGGCAAGAGAATTGCCCAATCCCAAGAGCTGGAGGTTTCTGTGAGCTGTGACCCCACGGCAGGGTGACAAAGTGAGACTCTGTCTCTTAAAAAAAAAAATCTCTCTCTGTCTCTCTCTTCTCTCTTCCCTTCCCAGTATGGAAGGATTATTGTTAATTATTTAAAGACTGATAATGCCAGTCTGGGCATAGTGGCTCGTGATTATAATCCCAATACTTAGGGAGACTAAGGAGGAAGATGACTAGAGGCCAGGAGTTCGAGACCAGCCTGGGCAATGTACCAAGACACCCCCCCCCCCAACTCCACTAAAAATAAAAAAATGAGCCAGGCACTGTGGCATATACCCGCTAGTCAGGAGGCTGAGGTGGAAGGATCACCTGAGCCCAGGAGTTTGAGGTTGCAGTGAGCTACAATCATGCCACCACGCTCTAGCCTGGGTTGTCAGGTTTGTAGTATACTATAGACCAGGCATTTCTGCAGGGCTTGTTGACCAGAGTCCAAGTTCCTCACACCCCTTGAGGCTTAGCAGGGGCATGTGGGACCCGGCAGGCTCAGGGTTAGGATTCTGGGAGTCCTGTTGACCAGAGTCCAGGAGCCTACACCCCTCTTCAGGTGCCGCAGATGACCCGATTGCTATCTGGTGGCTGAGAACAGAATGCCTAGCAAACCAAAGATTACCATCGCCTGAGTCCTGCCCAGGCATAGATAGAAATCACTAAAGTAAGTGAGGCAAGTTCACCCCTGATTTGTAAAGTACTCTGTGCTGTAATCACACGGCATGCCTGCATGATTTCCCTTTTCTTTGTATCTTCTTCTGACTGTTAATGATTACTTGGAGCACCTTGCTTTGAATAACTCAAATGAAGTTTATGTATTATGTTTGTGTCAACATGATTTATGATTTTTATTTACTTTATTTATTTTTTGAGACAAAGTCTCACCATGTCACCCTTGGCAGAGCGCTGTGGCATCACAGCTCATAGCAACCTCAAACCCTTGGGCTTAAGCGAGTCTCTTGCCTCAGCCTCCTGAGTAGCTGCGACTACAGGCACCCGCCACAATGCCCAGCTATTTTTTTATGGCAGTTGTGACTGTTATTTAGCTGGCTCGGGCCAGGCTCATACCTGCCAGCCTTGGTGTATGTGGCCAGCATCCTACTTACTGAGCTATGGGTGCCGAGCCTGATGTTTTATTTTGATTGAATAAACAGACCTATGGGAGAATGGCCCAGTGCTGGATTTGCTGGCTGCACTTGAGATGCTGCTGGCTTAGTGTGAGTCTCTCACAGGCTCCCATCGGGTATTTCATCTGAGATCACTGAGTCTGAGTTTTTCTC